ATGAAGGTAGTGCCACTTATAGATATGAACAGTAACGAACAATACAGAATGACGCTTCTGGCAACCTTTAAGTGTCGCCATTCCAGAAGATTATATCTAATGCTTCCATATTTTGCAATTTGACTTTTTTTTTTTAGTATTTGTCTACAACCTGCCAAGACATCTTTACTATACAATAGATAAATAAATAATCTTCATTACCAGTATAATATTAAAGTAATAATATTAAATAAAAAATAATAATAAAAAGAAAAAAAAACAATTTATTTTGCTGGTAATAGGACAATCGTATATACTTATTATAATAAAACAAAAAAGTGACTATTTAAAAGGAAAATGAATAAATCAATTTAAATAAAGATTATTTCTATTCTATTTTGAAGAAGTTTTTCACAAATTGTTCTTATTATCTTAGTCTTGAACAGTTACGAATAATGATAATAAAATTCCATTATCATTCAGTTTTACCAAACAACCGCCACTAGATTAATGAGCACTTTCCTAACAGAATATACCTACTCGTATTTTGATAAACAAAAAATTCACGTCTGTCATTAAAACCTCGTTCACACAGACTATCAATATTGTTTGTATTTTGTTTAATTTATTTTGACACAAAATTTCAACTAAGGCAAGTATTTTAAGTACTTAAAGAAATAGCCATTCTAATAATATTTTCTTTTATTCCGTTATCATTTTTACGTTTCGCAGCCGTCAGCTGCAGGTGAACCCACAGATCATTAAGACGACTTGTGAAAACGTTGTGCCGCGCTGCAAAGACTTAAATCGTTCCTATATAACGTAACAAGCGTAGATCTTTCAATCAGCGCCAATGACACACAAATAAACAGAATTCTCTTCTCTTTTATCACAGGTTTTAATGCTACTCAAATGTCGAATCAAATTATTTAAAAACAGTAACCGCGTAAAATTTATGAAATGTGTACATAGAAATTTCAACCAATAAAAAAGTAATTTCTGCCGAAAGACACACGTATACACCGATGAACAATTACGTATTAGATTGAAAATATTTTAATTTACAGTACAAAATTGCACAAACAAATAGATTTTTCTTTTCAACAAAAAGTTTTTCAGTGAATTTTATTGTCACAAAAATAATATGGGAGTAAACTTTATCGATTGAAAAAATAAATGTCCAAATTGGCAAAGAAATCGCGTAAAGAATTCAAACGAATTAAAAGCCTCCTTCTTTCGGAAGTCGCTTAAAAATATAGACGAGAATACTTTCTAATTTTCTTCACAATGGCATCGATATAACAGGCAGGATTACTATGAAATAGAATGGAAAATTATTTCGATGCCTGAATAATTGAAAGTAAGCCATAAAATTGACAAAGCCGATTGTTGGTGTGCAATCGTGACAAAAAGCTTTTCAGTCAATGTGTATTTTGTTGAGAGTAAATGTTGTGCCGATCGCTGTTGGAGTCACGTAGCGGGCTATGATTTAAATGTCAAACTGGTGATGCAAATTGGAGCGGTGTAGTCCCGGGACGAGGGTCGTAAGTTGTCCATGCTCGTACTGTGAGTGTAGTGAGTGCGCCGATCGATAGCTCACTAATGAGCCGTGACGCGCTGTTCCACCATGTGTGAATAGCGATCAGCCACATGTGGCACGCACCGCCAACTGAACATCACATGTACCTGAATGCCAATGAGCGATCCCCCAAAAATTTATTCTACTTTAATTATCTTTCACCTAACTCCCACAAGCGTGCATAATGAATCACGGAGCTTTCAAAACTTGGTAATTTTCAATTAAATAATCGGTTTCATATTTCCATACCAGCTTGCAGTATGTATGATAATTTAAATCATTGTTTTGTTGCACTAAAGCACATGTGACTGGACTAATTAGTATATAAATAAAGACATAAGTATTACATTTACCATATTAAACTAAAATATAAATAATTTTATTATTTAATCCGCCATCGAGTATCTATGCACATCTTAAATGTTGACTGGAAAAGATTGCCTGTATGCATTTACTCCGCCTTTTGTATCATATTTTATTAATCAATAAAATAAAAATAAAAATAAGTATATAAAACATACAGATGATACTATTTTGAAAACTTTAAATGAATATAATACTTTCCCCATTTGTGAATATTCTGGTACGATATACAAATTTTTGTGATATTGCTACGAGTACTGTTATTACATATATTTGAGGCGAAATATTGATTATGCTCTCTTGTCTGACTTGCTGTCAATAATAACAAAACAATAGCTAATCAGTAACAAATAGCAATGAATACGAAATATATATTCTTTTATATCAAATATACATGCTTAAATCACATTCATTACAATAGTTAACTATCAAAATAAACTTTATGTGCAATTAAATATTCTGTAGCTTAAATATTAGAATTTACGGTCGAGATAGGTAGTACATAAATGGATAAAAAGTAATTCACGTAACTGATATTTTAGTTTTATGTGCTACACATATGGTAGCTAGATACTACCATAGCCACCTTAAAATATGAACGCAGCTAAAGTCGCATCGGTAAAAGTCCATACATTTGAAATCTAAAGAAATACTCATGTTTTACTTTCCTTTTAGTAATATATAAGTAAATTTACATTTTAGATATATTTGCACATATTTTAGATTATTTTGTCTTCTAATTAATAAAAAAATCACGAAATATCTTTTCGAGTTACTACATAGATAAATAGAGAAATAATGAAAAATTATTTTCGTAATCAATAGGAATTACTCTTGTGATAGTCACATGAACTTTGTACCAACAGATGTTACCATTTTTAATTTACGGAGCAAAAGTCGACTCGTTGCGAATGAAAAAAAATTGTAGATGTATCTTTTTTTATATTACAAAGGTAACAAACAAGCATACAGCCCGTCTGATGGTAAATAATCATTGCAACATAGGGACCCCTGCAACACTAGAGGTGTCACGTGCGCGTTGCCGACCCTAAAGAAAATTTAATATACCCTTTTTGAAGAACCGCATACTGTAATCTCTATTTAACTAACGTCTATCTACAGTAATCTTGTAAAACTTCATATTCTTAATTTAAATATTTTAAATCTAATGTTTTTAACAAATATTCCGTTATTTTTCAGTAGTTTTTTGTTTTCATAAATGGTCATTACTTTTTGCGGAACAAAATTATTTATTTAATATCTTAATAAAATTACTCATTACCTTCAACATATTACTCTATAACTGATTACTGCAGAATGTAAGCCTCCACCATGGGGGGGGGGGGTTGCCCGTAGTTGCCACGTTTGGTAGGCGAACCGAAAGAGAGGGCTCTCTTAGTTGCATCTTACGACACCCACGGGAAATGAAGGGCTGACCTATTCTACGCCGGGACCACGCTGTCTCTTAGACAGAGTAGTCAATAAAATTATACATAAATAAATAAAATCGTCGGTTGGCATCGTATTATCAGCTCTTAAAAAATTTATTTATTTCATTTCCATACAAGCAATGGCGTATAACAAACTTACACTTTTCTAAACTCATTGACTAAAACCATATTATGTTGCGAACACGGTGGTATCATAGCACACTCCAATTGTAATTGATAATTTAAATTATTAAAAAATAAAATTTCTTTTACAAAAACAATAATTGGTTGAATATATCGAACGATATTCCAGTTAATAAAATTTAATTTAATGTGCTATTGGATTTATTGGATTAATTATAAAAGGCATTTTGGAATCTGGTACCGAACTGTAGTCAGCGCTCTCGGCCGAACGACGCTCGCCTCCCGCCGCGTACCACATTACTCAACCGCTATCTGATGTCGTCTGCTAATTGACTAGAAATACAGATAAACGCTATTTTTATACCCTCATAAATCTTCAAATAACTGCGATTTGTGATTCTGTGTTTTCAAATGTCAATGATAATACAACTGTAATGCTCGACATTAGTCGTTTACATTACCATATAAACATTAGTTTATATGGTAACAATAAAATACAAATTGAGCAGTAATAATAATATACAAAAATATATGAATATTTTTGTATGCGATACACAACTAAGTAATATGACCTAAAACTGCTATATTAATTCGTAATTTCACTTACGAGAATCAATATACTTTTTATTCAAGTCTATTCAAACATTTAATTATGCTTAAATGCCTAATAACAAACATTCAAATAACCTTACAAACTTTATTACTGCTATTGTTACTTTTAAAATGATCAGTACAATTCTATTAATATAATAAATGAGAAAGTTTGTAATGAGGGAGGGATGGGTTGCTGGTTTATAACTTTTTCACTCAAACACTGCTGAACGAATTGAAATGACATTTGGTAGGCAAAGACGGGCAGGTTATGTCCTGACTTAGCACACCTATGTATAAAATATCCTAATATTTTATATACTAATTTACAAAGGTGTAGCCGCGGAATACAACTAGTGACTAATGACAAATTGCAATATGTGCATACCTAATTGAAAAATTACATGACATTGCTTATTCCTTCTTTTAAGTCGTATATAAATAAGTTACCACATTTCTTATCACCATAGTACTCATAAATGGCAATATAAGAAGGATTCCATAGACGACACAGTATATTTTATTGTGTTCATAATTCTATTCATACAAGCGATGGTTACCACGATCCGTTACTTGGGCCGACAGCTTGTTTGCCATTCCAAATTGTATACAAAAATATAATAATAACTATATACAGCCATGATAGATAGAATAAACCAATTTATGATCAAAAAACGAATGATTCTGATAATATTTTTGGATTCTACATCAAATTCAGATATATCATGATAAATATCTTCTCCAATCCCCTCAGAGTGTAGCTACAGTCATATATATGCTTTCATGACTATTATCATTATATAAGACTTTGTACTGATTTGTTATAAATTATTAATCTAAATATTTTCATACTACGATATATTTCTACTATCATGGTCAAGAAAATAAAACATCTCATTGAAAGGCAAATTTTATTCATGGTCCAACGTATACTCAATGAACGGACCCATTCAATGTAAAACTTCGCATCAACTTGTTTAGATATATTACAATATTTACAAATGGATACAATAATAATTGAACACCGAGGGCGGTTAGCTACTCGCTAAAACTGCGAAGGCGGTCATTGTGAGCGCAAAGTGAGGAATTGCCAGCGCCTCTCCGAGGCGGACTGCGCCAGCGCCGGCGGCTGCGCGAGCGCGCGCATTCCCACCTGACTCGCCACGACATGCCGCTCCTGCAGTCGCTGCACTTGCCAAACTACGCCCACGCACTTTTAATGGCGATATGCAATAATTTTCCTCTGCAAATTCCTGTGTTAGAGCTAATGGATTTGCCAGAGGATCCCGTCCGCACTCACATGGTAAGTGATTACCTCGAATTACAATGTCCTCCACTTCTAACACCACTGATTCTGGTGTCTCTAACATGTGGTTGCCCGTCAATCTGAAAGTTGTGACGCTGTTGTTTTGCACTAGTGACAACTCCTCAACAGCATCTATTTTGTTATTACACATTTCGAGTATCTCAACACGTTGAAGACCATCGAAAGCGCCAACTCTAACAATTCCCAGGTCAGATTCCCGCAAAGCAAGACGTCCGACACGAGTCAAACCGCGAAACGTATCAGATAATACAGCTGGAAGGTCCATATAAGCTAACTCCAAAGTACCGATTCCTTCTAGACCTGCAAACGCCAGCGGTTCGATGGATCTGATTCCTGAAGGAAGTTCTATTTGTACGATATCTTTGAGTCCTGAAAAGGCGTGGGCCAATATGCGTTTTATGGGGTTATTCCTCAGAGAAATTTGTTTAATAAAATTGGTACCGGCGAATGCATATCCCTCAATTTGCGCTATCCTGTTATGGGTAAGAATAATGGAGCTGATATTCTGTAGTGCAGCAAACGCGAACGCATCGACAGTGGCGAGAGGTGTATGTTGTATGTACAGTTCTCGTAGGCGCGGTAAACCACGAAAGGCGAAGGGCCGTATACGTGTTAGGTTGCAAGCGTCAAGTGCAAGCCGCCGCAATTGTCGCAAATGTGCAAACGCGTCCGAACGCAGAACCCGCAGATCTGCACGTGAGAGTGACAACTGTGTGACACTAGGACTCAACGCTGAAGGCACACCGCGCAGTGTCGCACTGTTGCATACCACCTGAAAAATAATATTTTTTTTAGAAAAAGCGCTCTAATCTGTCTTATATTGATTGGAATTCCAAATGAAAACGGTAATAAAAAATCGTTACAAATTTTGTATAATTTAAATTTATATTTTTAAACCTTTATAACATTTTATTATTACAGTTGATAGAAAATTCGAATCACAAATAGAAAAAAATCCTCAGTTTCGCTACGTCACGGACTAACCATCGCTTCCCCCTGTTTGGCCCGTCAATAAAATTGATCCTCAGAATATCCCTGTTGACATACGAGCGCACGTTCATATTTTGATTGAATTGCTTCAAACTTAAGCTTCACAAATAATTGACTAGTACAAATACCAATTTCATCAGCTTATTCATATACAATCTCAATGTTGACAGTATAGGTTCAGGTACAGCTTCGATTCCATTTATTCATTTTCATTACATTTTTACATATAAAAAGAACATGTTTGTGAAGGCTTCGCCTGCACAGAATCTGTTATATCTCATTCCCCAGAAAATTTTCATTGAGTACATAAAAAATCTTAATTACAAGTTGTTAAATTTTTCTTTTTATTTAAAATAATTACAATTTAAAGATCTCGAATCTACCAAAAATATTGTTATTATATTATTATCGAACCATTCCAATTACCACTTAAAAAACTTGATAAGTTCACTCAATTCATCAATAAAATAAATTTACTCGAAATACATTTTTGGATCTGTATAATAGTTTCTAATACGTTTTAAAATAGTAAACGACGATTTGTCGGCCTATAGACCTGAACACCACCTCTATCAAATATCACATAATATTCTGTAACGCCATTAGTAATGCTTCTATAGACGAAATTAACACTTAAAAATAGTTTTAAATACGTAACCCTGTATTTGCAAGTCTTAATACATAAATAGATTGAAAAAATACCAAAAAAGTACAAATATGTGAGGCACAATGACTTTTTAGCCCAAGATCCGCTCTGCTGAATTATGCATATATAATTTTTTGATTGAAACTTCATTTAAGTGAAAGGTAGGCTAAAATATAATACAATACGGGTGAGTTGCCTGCTCTTAGTCAGCTGTGACCAGGTTGCCAGGTGGTAACCCTTACTTTTGGCCATTTTTTATAGGTAATCATATATTACCTTTTATAGAAAAGAATAGACTTCCTATTTGATGTAAATCTTTTCAAAGAGAATAAGAAGTTGACCAAATTAGCCGAGACTTTTAATTATCTTTACCTGGCAACCCTAGATTGCAGCTGAATACAGGAAACCCGAGTACATTATTTTCGCTTATATTTTATTTAAATAAAGTTTTATTAAAAAAATTCATACCAACATTCAGCCGCAGAATCTTAGGTTATTATATATACTATAATATATTAGAAAAAAGTAGTTGAGAATTCCTTCCCTGTTAGGGTGCAACACTCAACCCAGACAGCAGAGTCGAGTCGTTGGAAGGTATGTTTCAATCTATTTATAGCTTAAATTTAAATAAATACTACAGAAATTATTCAATTAAAGATAAGAATGTTAAACCTGTGATTGTGAGAGGCAGATGCAGTGCGTCGGACAAGGTGGCGCCAGTGACGGGGCAAGTGCTATGTGTCCTGCTTCACAGAGGGTGCCCATCATCGCTACCGCCACCAGACACTGCATCATCCATCTGGTGAACACGAACTCATGTAAGAACTTTTAATGTCTTTTAAAATTGCGCCTAAATATCTCATATTAATAAAAAGGTTAAAAATGTAAGTATATATTTAAATACTATAGAGCGATATAAATTTAGAATCGATTCTACTTCCTAAATGACAAACTAAAACAAAATCGAAGTACGTGCAATGTGTGATATTCAGTAATGAAAATACAATCTTTTCCTACAAAGGTTTGACCTCTATAAAAAAAAGAGTATATTTTTATACCACGCCTTTTAACTGCAATACCATCTATATGCACGCACTCTGGTTCAAAAATTCCTAGATAATTTAATATATGTATAGAAGCTGGTTGCTACTCGTATAAGTACTTCGTCATTCAAATTTTCGTATAACCATTTGTCTCTTCATATCTCTAAGATCAGCAATGCATTGATCATAGCTCAAATAAATAAGACCTACTTCTTACATCGCCAATAGTACTTGTATACAAAATTTGATGACAATTGATTTAGGCATAAAAACGTTAAGAGGTAACAAACAAATTCACATTTAGGTATAATATTAACAGGTATAAAAATTGCCAGAATATTCCATCGATAAAAAAGAAAAGACCTATTTTATTTACCTAAGTCTGTAAGCGGGAGCCATGGGCGGGCGCAAGCGAGGCGCGCCGCCCGTCGCGCGCCCTCACCTAAGCACTTCCATCACACCACCACTGCCTGGAAACAAATATCTAGTTACATAATTATGTTTATATAGAATTAAACCTCATCGAGACTCGCTGGCTGGAGCCTTTCCGATTGTTCAATTAAGTGCTACTTGTTTCACGAAAGCTATTAACGGTTGAATTAATCTATAACAATATTTTTCTTTCCCGATGATTAATTGGCATCGAATTGTAAGCAAAAGAGAAATTTTGGCGTAATTGAAACGAACTCAACCCGGAAAGCTATGAGATAGGGCTCCGAGTCCCGTTTGGATGGTGTAAATATTTCAGTCTATAGCAGGAAGTTAAGAAATCTATTTACAGGTAAATACAAAATAAAAATAGTCCCAACTCCCAAGACAAATCAATTTAATAATAAAACCATACTTAAAATTTACTATATAATAAATAAAATTAAAATAAAGCATTATATTTAGTTTAAATTAACATTTCAATTTAAATTACCATAAAACAACTGATGTGTATTATTGATTTAAATCTTGTGTTCCAAAATGTCTATATACGAGTACACATAGTGACATATGAAAGTAATCTGTCTCTAGTAAGAAAAAACAACTTCATATTCAAGTCTGATTCAATTATACTTAGACGGAAATTGAATTCGAAGACTTGGTAGGATATAGCGAGCCTGCCCCATGAGAACATACTCGCTCCACTACAATTTTACTTATAATAGGTTCCAGCATTATAAAGACGTTTGTAAAACAATTTAAGAATTTATTAGGTATTGTAATGTATCATTTATTTTGAATTAGCTAGGATATCATGGAAAAGATATTATTTTTATTTTTTATGTAATAACTACCGGTTTAAGTTACGTGTAATTAGATCGAAAAAGCTCCATTGGTTTCAGAATCAATTCATGATCCTTTGTCATGAGCAACTGTGACGCGAGCACGAGCTTGACTGCGTACCTCGACCTGCTGAACGCGAGCTGTAGGCGCTTGCGGCATCGTCACAAATAAGAAAGACGGCATTTAGAACTCTTTAGGTATGAACAGCTGATCTCCGTAGTCTTCCTCTTCGTCTTCTAGGTAGAATAAGGCAGATGTTGCATTCACCCAAGGACTTGGATGCCCTCAATATACCAGGCAAATATTTACTATGATACCTGACTGCGTATCTAGCAGTCAGACTCGTGCTCAGACTCAGACTAAGAATCACGAATTGATTCCGAAACTAGTTAAACTTTTTCGATCTAATTATATGTAAGTTAAACCAGTAGTAATTACAATAAAATATAATGTGTACTTACGAAATTTTTGACAATTAAAATGTTGTATAATTACATATGATTATAAATTATGACCTTATTATAGATAGAGTATCTCCATAGAAATATATATTATAGATAGAGTATCCCATTACAAATTGCTTCGCTAAAAATAGATCAACTTTTTTATCCATGCTGTGTGAATATTGTTACCATAATATATACTTATTACTAAGTATATGAGAGAAAATAAGGTTAATTAAAAATAAAAACGATACATAATTCTTATAATATATTTAAAAGATACAGATAAACAGTTCATAATTATTCGTAATGATGCTTATCGTTACTGAATACTTTGATTTATATTTAAGTATACACATAAAATATGTTTACCTTTTTTAAATAATTGAAAATGACCGTTACTTTAACTAATACATGCATATTAATTTGTAAGTAATACCCACATTTGCATATTTATATTTTATCAAAAAAATAGTTCCCAATTCTATTTTTTATAGTCCTGATTTGGAGGATTATTAATCTAATTTAACAATAACTTGCAACATTAGAAAAAATTACATTTAAATAAAACGTTAATATTTGGCTCACTAAAAGTTGTCTTATTTTTTACACTTGATACTCTATCTATATAATCTAAGGTTATAACATTCTTCTTGTATATCCTTAATATGTTTTTTATTATTGAAAAATATCTCTAAATGTAATAAAATCGAAGCCGTTTATAAGTACGAGAAGAAACAATTCAATGCTAGAAAGAACAAATTTATAAATAAAACTCTTGATATAATAGTCATTAACTAAGGTAATAATACTCAATTATTCAGTTCTAAGAGGCATTGTAGCAATAAAAGGACAGTAACTTTGAAACGGCTATAAATGGGGGCTTACTGTCACAAACATAGCTTTCTCACAAAACCAAACGTCTTGTTGTTTGGCGTATAACGCTACACACCAAAAACTTAAAATTGCAGGAGTATGTTTATCCCCAGTATGTGGAGATTCCCGACGATGCTACGGCTCCCCAGAGCGCCATTACTTTGCCCGCCTGAGACGCACACGCTTTTAAACTAAACCACGCTTAAATTGCACGCAAAAATATTGTGAATACACTTAATTTTTTCTTATTCTCTCTAGGGAGAGATATGTAATAAGAAAATACACATAAACTTATAGATAATAAGAGTGTTAGTCGCCTAAAACACAACGTCTTTATAATACTCAAGGGAATCTCCGCAGTTGCGCCAATGCGTAACCCATTATTATTTCGTTTTCTTAGTAATACTGATAGATCAATCAGGTTATTTCATTTTATCTTTGAATGCAACCGATATCGATCTTTCCTACAAAGATTCGTCATAGCCTAGTAATTTATCATCCGATTTAGACGGCAAAGATCGTTTGTTTGAATTCGGCCAATGTTAAAAATATGGCATCAATGTAAATTATCGTATAATTTTCTGGTGTTATCAAATTGACAAACCAAATTACATTAAATTATATGACGATAGACGCGTTCCTAGTTACGTTTACCTATTTATTTAAACTGCGACAGTCAAGTGTGAGTAAGAGAAACTATTTCCAATAATATTTTTCAAATATTTTAATAGTAAAACAAGTTATCGAAAGATTTGTACCTGTGTTATAAAAAACAACTTATGATATAGGTGTACAGTTTGCAGTACACAACTTGAATAAAAACATAACAAGGACATTGATCCCAGCGTAGTAGACGCTTTTGTGTGTAAAATGTTTCAGCACAAGTGACACAAAAATTGTAGATAAAAAAACAGTACAAGAAAGTGAAATCTATCTAGTGTATTTTTGAAACTAAACAACTAGATATAAAACATAAGAAAATGTAAGAATGTATGTTTTAATTTTTTTTTAATTAAGTTTATTGCTTTCCTGTAAAATTGTTTGGCTTCATGAATAGTTTCGCAGGGTTTTCCATTATAACCCATATATGATCATACTCTATAATCATGATATCATCAACTATAAATCGATTATACTTGAAAAGCTCAGTACAGTAAGTACTAACATTTGTAGACTGTACTCACACTATTAAGTATTCGCTAACATTTTTCCGAACTGAAAATGATATTGGTTTCACATTAAAAGTTTTATTGAGAGTAAGCATACAGCCAAGTCGAATGTAGGTAGTGGAAAGTTTTTAATATACTTAGTTTAATGTGATCGTTTTGTATAATTTTATTTATTTATTGAAATTCGGGGAATAATAAACAAAGGTCTTCTTCTCCTTTCTTCTATGATTTTTTTTAGAATCCATCCTCCTAGTAATATAGCACTTAATACATATTTTATAGACAGAGTAAGAATATAATGTGTAATAACGGAAAAATTCTTTAGGAGACTCCATGAATATCTGATATAGATAGATCAGCATTATGATATTATTAGGTTAAATCCTCCTCTTATACATAGGAAGGTACATGTACCAATTAGTGCAATATTAATAAGTTGGTGTTACAATAGGTATGGTAGCAGTTGTGATGAAGATGCATGTATAATAGAATATAATATATATCGAAGATATTTCGAAAAGTATACTGCCGATGTCATTATTTAAAAGTACATTCATTGTACAATCATTTTATTTCTACGAAAAAGTTATAAGATGGAAAATATTGAGACAAATACTTTCCAATAAAGTCGATAAATTAAAAACGACAAAGTTTTAACAATCGAATTTAAGATCCTTAAAAGAATAAATTCATATTTATTAATTAATTTGTATCTAATTTTATTTCAAATTTTACGTTGTGCAATGTTGTGAACAAGTTTAATTGGTTCCCGGTAGTTACGGATGATCAATCATAGAAGTAACTTGTTCGTGTCATCGGAGATTTATATGTATAAATCTCCGATGACACATATTATATTGCACTAGAGTATTTAATTTTATGAGACACCAAATTTTAATAAAATAGATAGAAAAATATCACGATACTAAATTTCCAGATAGAAAAAACACAACATGTTAGATATATTCTGTGGTGAAGTCATGAATTAGTATATTCAGCATCCTACTTTATATAAGTATGATGATATATAGGATATATTAAGTTAAAGTATGACCTAACATTATACCAAATTTTATTCAAATCCATTCAATTATTTTTGTGTGAAAAAGTATAAAACATACATCCATACACATATCCTCAGGTCAAACTAAAATGTAGTGGTAATAATGCGTCCATAAAATTTTATGCCGATAAGACCTTATAAGTTGATCTCGAGAACAGCTCAGTCGATTTTTATAAAAAAGCATATTTTATACATAGCTAATTCAAAGCCATGTCAAATTCTAAATGTAGGTCCCCAAAATTATTTTTTCTCTTCCTAAACGAGATTTTGGCTTCAATTCATGATGTACCAGGATATTTTTTTTTTATTTTGATCACATTATTACAATACATAGGATAAGACAACATTTCCTGGAATTGTTAATGTAAGGTAATTGATTATTTTTACTGATAATTTTCAGCCCAATTAAAATGATGATTTTAGTGGCACGCTTCTTTCTATAGTTGCGAATTCTATTTCTATATTATAGTGTACCTTAACATACTAAATGCAATCTGTAATAAAAGATGTAAGCATTAGATTCTAGAGGTCTGTGTAAGAGACACTACGAGAAACAGATCAACAGATTTGATAGATATAATCAAAGACTAACTAGGGATTAAAAAAAACTGTGTGAGCAACATGTTGCAAAATTACAATTTATCTTAACTACTATTACTTACTAGCCACTATTACTAAGTACTGACGTACTTACGTACTCACATATTTTATAGAATACAAAAAATTGTAAAAAAAATTAGTTGCAATAATTCTTCCAAAAACGCAGTTATGAATTTAATTATCCTAAATTAAAATTGTAGATTGCTACAAACGTGCCGTTGTTTCCGACGTAATTCAGAATTTAATAACGTTACAATTAATTTTGGATCTTATCATAATTTAATATCGATTAAATTAGTTAATCTACCGTTCCGTTATATTAACAGCAAATGTAAGTACATTGTAATGTAACTACGTATTAAAATTAATAAAACTATCTAAAATGTGTTTAAAATTTATTTATCAGATTTAGGTTAATTTCTTTTTTGTGACAAATTTAGATAGGCATATGTACATAGATAAGTAGTTCTAACATTAATATTCTTTTTGGATTAAGTTTAAAATTAAAAAAAAAAATATTTAAGGTAAATTCCCTCTACTTAAAAGTGTTTTCTTTTAAGCTGTATATTTAGAACTTTAGTTAGTGGTTGTCGATTCTTCGAGCTATGTGATCGGCCCATTACTACTTCAGCTTATTTATCCTTCGTTTCCTTGATTTTGCTTTACGGATTCTATCATGCAAAGAGACTCCGAGCATATCCGTACCCATATGAGGGAAAGGGATTGTTAGCAATGGGGTCTTACTGACCCATTGGCAGCAATACACCTTAACAGGTCGACCTCCACGCGGTTCCCCTGGAAACTATTGTTGTTAGTTCTAGTGGAATTTCTCACGCTAACTGGCCTGCTTTCATCGTCACCTAACATCCCTTAACGGTGCCCTACCAGCGTATACTGATAATGCAAGCAGTGTTACCATTCTATTAATAAATACCCTACCCAATAAAAAAAAACCCTCCCCATAGCCCGTTGAGTTATTTGAAGCTTTTGCATACGGGCAATCATATAGCAGCATGTTTCGGTTCCATAAGTCATCACTGACAACACGCACTGGTTAAAGACGTTCGTATTCTCTAAAGTTTTTAGATGAAAGATGTGGTGTAGTTTTCCGAACGCTGCCCAGCCGAGTTGAATTCATCAGTTGACCTCTCAGTTGAAGTTAAACTTACCTCAATAGGATGGACAATTTATGCCAGGTATACATACTCGTCAACTTCGAGCGTAGTGTTCTCAATAATAACCGATATAGGTAAGATATGGACGTTAGACATGATTTTAGTTTCGCCCAGGTTCATCTTAAAACCTACCTATTGAGAAACACCACTGAGATCATTAAGCATAGTATTACAATCCTCCAGGGATTCCGCCATGATTACTATATCATCGGCAAATCAAAGGTTAGTGATGTATTCGCCATTGATATTTATACCATATCTTTTCCAGTCCAAGAGTTTGAAAACATCTTCCAATGCAACTGTGAAGAGTTTCGGGGATATGACGTCACCCTGTCTTACATCTTTCTGCACTGGGATGGGTTTCATACTCTGGTTCTGTACTCGAATAGACTAGAATTTAATATTAGTAAGTAAAAAAAAGTAAGAAAAGGAATCATCAAAAGCTAGCCTTTTGGTAATTTTGGTGATTATAATCCTATAAGAGTTTTCTTCCTGCAATCCTGCAAATGATGAGGTGAAAGTTTCTTGTTCTGAATAATAAATTTACAATATTATTTAAGTTCAAAAATAAGAATATATTCGATTTTACCCTGAAAAAGTAACCTTTTGATAAACAAATGTTAAACACATGTTTACAAAAAAACATCTATCTTATTAAAAACGAAAGGTGTTTGAAGTAATGTAGAATTTGGTACATAAAATAAACATTATTTCATGGTCTAAATAATCACTTAAACAGAATTTTTCTTAAACACTGTTTAGATAAGCAACATTTTAAATTATTTTCGTAGTAAAACCGATTAGGTATATTTATTTCCAAATACTTTTCTAACAATTCGTATCAAAAGAATAAAAAAAAATACATATTCATAAAAGTAACAAAATTGTTAAAACATTTATCGACTTTCATTTGATCACAGGGGACAATTCTTGTATCAACATTCTGAAACTCGTTTGTGTCGCGTAAAAAAATATTTGCAAATATACTTCAAAGTGTCTCAATTGAACAACATAAGAGAAAATGTTACGTAGCGGACAAAATAGATATCATAAATATACACGAATACAAGCTTTGTGAGACATATTAAAGCTTTATCGATAAAGTAAAATACGTATTCATCTGATGATACATACTGATTTGAATAGATGTCACAACAGTTTATATGTTCTAGAGACAATTTTTGGCCCTAAAGTAGACTCGAATTTAAACACTTGTTTTCTAAATTATAATATGTTCAGAATAATTATACCATAGCAAATGTATATGCCTTATACCTACATAAACGGTTTTGCAAAGAATGACCTGCATCATCTTGTAGGGGTATGATCTTTGTGGTTGTGAATTGGTTGGTGAAGTTTGTTTGAATCTTACAAATTTTTGTGAGCACTAATAAAGGATTTTTGAAATGAAACGAGAGATAACTATCTCACGCGGATGGAATTACAAGAAACATCTAGCATATGTTATAATAATACAGACAATAGCTTTTGTTACGCAGTGGTGGACACTTTGATACAAAGAGTAGAACTTTTGATATTTCGGCTGCAGTCGTATGACCACTTCATAAATTATGAATTTAATACAGTTCTATAAAATTAGTTTGTGAATAACTAGCTCCTATCCCTCGGCTATTCTGCTCTGTTTGCCCCTCTTTGATGTCATGGCCACTTTATATAAAATCAGGCTCTTTATGAACCACAGTTCAAAGGTCGCTATTTCATTATAATATCTCTATCCAATTTGGCCCTTCTTACATAACAGTGTTGATATACAATGTGACATGGGTCTTTTTAATATTCCGCAAACGAATGACCGAAGTGGAATCCTTACCTATCTAATAAAGTCAAGTTTGTCTGGCTATCTGTCTGTATGTCATAGTATTATAATTTTGCTTAAGGTGGGTATTCAAAAAATTTTAAGAATATATTATACCTATATACTATCTGAAGGTACTTACATTGAATGATGATACTCATAAGATTCGAAATTTAAATAAATCGTAGTTTTAGTTTCTCCAAGCATTTAAAAAGTAAAGTGTGTTAAAATTGTATTATTTTTTAACATTGCATATGAAGTCTTTATTATAACAATTCATTAAGGTAGACGAAAGAATGTTTTAGAAATATCTAATATATATTCGTTATTTTCAAGTGTTTTTTAGCCATATCTTATGAGTCTAGGCATATATATATATATATATATATATATATACGAATAAAGGCAATATAGGTATATTGTCTTATTCATACTAATACAAGTATTTTGACTGGCTTTAACTGGATTTTCTTCATAAACAATTTTACTATTTATTTAAATTTTATATAACAATCCAATTTATGAGACAAACGGTACTTTTATTTATTGTTATTTTTAAATATATCTACACATGTATATATAACACGTTTACATCAACGAAAAAGTAATGACATTATTTTTAAAACAATATTTTTACTATAAATAAATTGTTATAATATCACACAAAATACGCGATATTATTTTACGTTATTTCTATATCTTTCCCCAAACACGCCATTCATAAAGAATAAATATTTGATTTATCGATTCTATGCAAAATCAACATCGCTTTCATCTAAATGATGTTCGTGAATAGAATGCCGGTCATTATCTACAAATAAAACAAAGTGCTGAACAGAACAGACCTGTATAATCTTGCACAGGTGAATATAAGATTGCATGTGTCAACTTATATCTCTCGCGTACGGCCTTCTATTAATGTAAGCGTGGCGAAATTTGCGCGTTGATAATAAATTCGGTGAGAAAAAGACGATCCTGACCTGCGTGAGCTACGTAAATCATTTCAATTTATTATACGCACCGCACGGCCATTGTTACGACACAAAAGAATGCGACACGCAAGTAATCATCGCAAAATTAATAACTAAAATGTTTAACTTCTTAAATACATAACATTTGAAATCCAAAATGTATATATAATATTTTACATTGTACGTTATAACCTACAACTTCCACTAAATAAAAAACTAAGAAGACTAAATATTGCTAAAAACGATTTCCCATAACATGGCGAATAAATGAATCAGATAATAGAGCCATAATGTGAAATATAAATGTATTGCATGGTCAATGGATCTAATTGCTCGAGTTCACTATAATTGTTCTTATTATATGGTAAATATTTTCTCTTCTAAAATATTAAAATCTTAAAAACTGCTACAATAATATGTAAACATCAATAAAAGTAATACACAAAAATTATGTCGACCAAAAATGATTTTTGGTAATATTAATAATCATTCTGAAAAAGCTATTAAAAAAATTCTATTAGAGCAGAGCCTTAGCTACCCATGTTTAAAGTAGGGCAGAAGCCTTAACTGACTTTCTTGGAGCCTTTCATGTTCAGGTAGGGCATCGCCCCTCAATGCCCTCCACCCCTCTAGCTACGGCCATATATTAGAAATAAGAATGTTGTCTATTGCCAAAATGCTTTTTATCATAAACAATCTAAGATTCTCTATCGTCATAAGATTAGACAATACCTACTTCATCACTACTTTTTAAGATAATCATTTCCATCCCAATAAATAAATATAAATTTTATACAAATTAAGATTTATCAAAGAAAGTTGATGAACAATTGTGAATACAAATCTACAAGTTATATAGCAACATCAAAACTTTTCACATACTTCATACTTTCGTATATTTTACAGGCGGACTTGGACTTCTGAATGTGCGAAACTTACGTTCGTATAAAGAAAAGCGTACATACGTAAGTTTACGACACCACTGTCATTGTGAACACAATACAAATTTTGGGGATGGAGACGCGCGATGCTCAGATCTTCGCAACGCACGAACGACGCTTTCGCTTCACATTATCATATAGACCATAAAGTTTTTAAAACATATTATAATTTTATTTGGCACATCTCAAGTTACTTTCTTTATTTGAATTTCAATTGTAATAGCAGAGCATAATATATTTTTTATTGAGTAGTGTGATAATATAGTAAAAGGAACTATTTAACTAAGTCTATTTTTAAACTAGCTATTTCCCGTGTCTATATCTGCGTGCATCTAAGTATCATACATCTTAATATATTACGTACCCGTGCACCAAATTTTATTCAAATCTGTTCAGCTGCCTAAGCATAATTCAGTAACACTTGTACTGAGTATATTTATATGTTTGTTACTCATATGTTTATTTGATAAAATAAAAGTTCTTTTATAATAAAGTATTATGAAATGAAATTAAAGGAAATATAATGAAATTTTATTGCTATCACTAAAATATAAACTTTATATATATAAACTTTTGATGAGAAAAAAGAAGATGCAATATATAAACCTCATTTATAATAAACTATTAATAGTATAAATTTTTATAACATTAATAGGACAAATAATATGATATAATATCTACAATCTATATATAAAAAAGTATGTTTTTCTAGTCTTTTGTCTTTAAAACCTTATTCCTTAGATTGTGTTTGGAATGAAGTATGATCTGAACATTATTCTTTTCACTTTTGTCCATTTGTCAATCTGTTTCCGGCAGTGTCACGTGAAAACGACAGACCAAGCTTCATCCAAAGGTATCTTCATCGTGTAACCAGTTTGACTTAATAACGTCAAAACTTAGTCATCTAATTTGCCGTTTGACTGACTAAATTTTAATATATATATTTTTAAATAAAAATAAACACGCTTTCGTTTAGTGATGCAAGTAATTGGATTAAAAATATTTACAGGTCATGTGATTTTTTTAATTTGATATGGAAACTATTTTTTAAATTATAATATAAATATATAAAGGTTACCTGGAAAAGGTCGCTCTTAACGATAAGGCCTATTGTATTCTGTGTGTAAACTTTTCTTGTAATTGTTTGTATTTATAATAAGTTTATAATAAGTTTCCTATGAAAATATGATATGATTATCATCATATCATATTTTATGTCTATACTCAGATTAAATCGAAGTGATCAGTAAAAATTAGCATAATTACGAATCATAATGATTCGTAATTATGCTAATTTACTACTGTTGTACTGTTTAATTTGTGCTTTTTTGTAAGTTTGTGTTTTTTTTTTTATATTTTAATTTAATATTTAAATATAATTTCTCCAATATACTGAGTAAAAAGTGCACATTATGGTAACCCTATTCACGCACACATGGATAAAAAAGTCAACCTGTTTTCAATCTACTTAAAAAAAGGAGGTTTTAAATACGATTGTATTTTTCATAACTTTTTAAAATTTTGATAACTCTGTGAGTTCTAAACCAAATATTTTCTTAATCGATTTAGAAAATTCTCTTTTTGTCTGAAAAGACATGATTCCAGTTCCATAGAAATTTTATCAAAACACATTTAGTAGTTTAGTTTTTAAATCAAAATATAACGTTTTGTTACTATTGAAGTAGGTTTTTTTGTAAAGCACAAACTTTAATTAGTGGCAAAGCATTTGTATGGAAACACTATATAGTTTAAGTAGGTATGTAGAGTATCTTTCATTTTACTCCACTACTAAAAATTAACGACTAAAAGTCTGGCGCAATTATACTTGATTAATGAAATTATAATCATACAAATCGGATAATGTCAGATTTCTCTCATTTCTATATATAATATATTTATGCAAAACTTCAGTGTGACGGTAATCCTTTATAGAATAAATCTGGTGGCCATAAAGTGACAAAAATGTACGAATACTATTTTATTTGAATACTGTGATAGGGCTTTTTGTAATATTGTCACGTTTACGTCGTATTGAGATCATTTAGTGCATCTTACTCCACCTTCTCAGTGATTCTACAGCAATAGTGGGGTCATGGTCATGATACAAAAAAGATATCAAAAGTATAATAAGGAAGAAAATAGTTGATTAAAAATATTCAATCTCATCACTACATTTATGATATACAACTCCATTTTAAATTGACTTTTCTAAACTAATCCTACATATAAAGCAAATATATTTTATTTATTGTTTCTAATGGATAAATTCAAAAAAATGTATAAGCGATTTTAAAAATTCTTTTATCTAAAATAAGCTACTTTATCACTGAATAAAATAACCTGTCTTTTATTTAAAAAAAGCCGGTCAAATCCGAGTCGGACTCGCGTAGCGGACAAAATCATCAAATTTTTTTTATGAAATAATTACAAATATACGGTTTTTGGATTTTGTTTCTTTATTTGTGCTACATGACGTAGCTTCTTGCCAAATTTCATGATTCTAGGTCATCGAGAAGTACCCTATAGGTTTTGGTTCCCTTTGCGAATGTCTTAATATGTGATATAAATTAAACATATCTCGTGATTGCGTCGATTTAATCGTGATTTTTACTGCTTTAAGAGATTGCAAACCTGAGTATATGATATTAATTTTAACTTGATACCTCCACGCGTTCCTAAGAAAAAGAGTCTTGACAGACGGACTGACGGACGGACGGACGGATGGACAGACAACGAACTGATCCTCTAAGGGTTCCGTTCTTTCCTTTGGAGGTATGGAACCCTAAAAAATAGTACAAAGCTAAAGCAAGTCGCTATTATTTGCTATTTAACTATTATTAAAATAACGCGGCAACAAATATGAAGAAACGTACTTGTCTTACTCGACCTACTGAAACTGCGTAGAGATGTTGCGTCTCTGTGCATCTTCTATCGAATTCATCATGGGGAGTGCTCTGAGGAATTGTTCGGATTGATACCTACTGCTGATTTTCATCATCGTACAACCCGCCATAAACTAAAATTTCATCCCAACTATCTGGACGAGTGGCGGTCCTCCACTGTGCGTTTTTCAAGGCACTTTCTTCCACGCACAACCACTCTTTGGAATCAACTTTCAGCAACAGTATTTCCGAACCAATACGACAACATAACCTTAAAAAAACAGCATATTCCTTTTTTAAAGGCCGGCAGCACACCTGCAATGCCGTCGCTATTGTGCGTGATCATGGGCGGCGGTAGTCACTTACCAAGGTGTGCCGCATGCTCATTTTCCCCCTGTGTTGTAAAAAAAAAACGAAATAACCAAATAAAATGATTTATCAAAAATGAGTTTTGTTTGATGAAAATATTATTGTAGATCCAAAATCGCGTATTGATATTCACAAGCAAGTTGTTGAAATATCAGCCGACAAAACTAGAATTTTCAAGTCAAGATTTAGACAAGTTTTGGTTTGCACGGCGTTCTGAATTCAAAAGCTTAGCAATGGAAACTTAAAATCATTGATTCCTTTGTTCTATCTTCAAAGTTTTTCGTATATTGTAGTTTTAAAAACGAAGTTATACTTACAATAATAATTTACATTTAGAAAAACTAAATTATTTTTTATTTTATATCAACTATCCAATATTTTAACCCCAAACCTAGAAACAACTACTCATCTAAAACTAGTTTCTTACAAACTAGCACTAACTTAGTAGTTAGTTCACAAAGTAGGAATTGCTGTTACCAACCCTTACTATGAGTAAGTGGATGAATAGCGAATATACTGTCAGGGAATACCTATTTCAGAACGCAATTACATTTAAATATTAAATTGGAGAACGTGCCCAGAATAAATTGTACCACCGATAAACAATTAGTTACACAACAAGCAGGTATACAAATAATAGCATCAAAGTAACGGACAAAGGCTACGGGTATGGGCGATAGGGCGCTAAAAGAGTTTCAGGGAGACATCGTTATGACATGAATAACTGATGGACGCCGTCCTTTCCCCTTCATCGCTTGATTAACATTCAGAGTCGCGAGCGACTTCAAGCTCGGTATTCTAGCAACAAAGCCCTCGCACAAAATAAAAGCTTTGCACGTCCACTCGCTGAAAGGCGGACTTCCCGAACTTACGTCATCCAATTTTTATGCCGTGTCAAAGAACTTTTAAGAAAATAAAAACAAAGATCCAACACACCTATTGTTAAAAAGTACATACTCCCATTTGCGGCTTAGAAATGTTTATATCTGAAACAACGCTAATCATTTAAATGTTAGAACAAAGGTGGAGTAAAATAAGATTTATTATTCAGGGTTCAAAGAGCACATCAAGTTGTTTCGAGACACCGCACGTTGTCTTGCATTCAAGGGAAACGCGAAGCGGAAAAGGTAATGCCGCTGAAGCATAAACATTCTGAGTATTTCCTCTCTACTCTGATATTATTGTTAAGTAGTAACAATGTATTATATACAAGGTGTAATGAAAATGGTATAACAATTCGAAATCTAGCAATAGTATTTATTAAATCTCCGATAATATAATACGATCGTAGTAACAAAATTTAACTACCCATACTGTATTCTATGATTCCATGACGCTTTTTATATTTACTATATACATGAGGGTTTTCACTTTCCATCAGGCTAACCATCAACTTGTTTGTTATTCTAAGTTGCATAAAAAACTTTTTCAATTTCTACTTTTTCCATAGACACATAATCGATTTAATATGAAATAATATAAAAAATTTCAAATTTATACCCTAGGAAAAAGTAGTGAAGTTTCATAAATAAGTACTATCGCAGTGTTTCTGTGTAGTACGGTTTGTAGAAAACATTTAAATATTATTTTCATTGTGACCCTCATCTTTATCAGCAAAGGCTTTACCCATATATACTATCATTGGACTTCAACACTTCGTGTTATACAAATACATATGCTCGTATACATAAGAATAGAAACAACACTCGAACCCCCAATTATATAAAGTATTTCATATTACTCTATTATAAACATATTTACAACATGACAGTCTACTATCAAGTTATAATATATATGCATCAATTGTATAAAATGTGTTTTAAATTTGATTGAAATACGTTTTCCACTAGTATCAGTTTTACATTCTTGTTAGAACTGCCCTGATTTTCGTGACGACAGTGGTAAATTGTCAGTTTTTACTTCTTTCATATTTCCAAT